CTGAGTAAACAATATGAGTTTAGAAACCTTTCTCAAACAATTCCGTGTTCGTAATCGTTTATCAAAGTCAATCCGTCAAAAGCTCGTCGTATATCGTACAACCTCTCGTTCAAGCTTAAAATTGTAGCAGGTATGCGGTATCTCCAACGCCCTCGACGGCACAGAAGATGACGCCATCCACGCAGAAGAATTCGCTAATGCAGAGGATGAGGAAATGGATGATGAATTCGATAACGACAAGGAAGAAGACGAGCAGTAAGAACAGATCGCTCCAACTACAAACAAACAGCTCCTTTAGGGGCCACCACAAATTAAAAAAGTTTATGACCAACATACTGTACCCTGAGTTTAATTTCTTTATTTTCGCTCGGCTCATACGCGAATACGTGCCCATTCATCATCGTTCTAATATGTCCAAAAAGTTTGTTTTAGGAAAAATCTCGGCTATAAGCCGAACCCCCTTCTGTAGCTTAGATTTTACCAAATATTAGCGTGAATTTGTGTGAAAATCGCTCGGCTTATAGCCAAATAAATACGGTAGTCAATTTAATGATTAGTTTGAAGTTAATTCTTCCTTGTTGATTGTATTTGATGGGTGAGAAGTTGGCCCATTGATCTTTGAAGGCCCTCCATTCATATACCTGACTCCTACTGATTTTAACTCCAAATGTGCTGATTTATTCACTTCGAGTTTCATATTAGCAGCTGCTCAGCTCAGTGTTCAGAGGAAGATTTGAAGGCATGAGCAAAGTAATAGGAGATATTGCGAGATCCAATATGACTTTTGCTTTATCGATCGCGATTTGATATCTCTGAACACTTTTCAAAATGTCCGGATTTCTGATTGTATCTTCAGCCAACACGAAGAGCTCACGCTGAGCCTCTTTCGCACTCCCTGATGAACACAAGATTGGTGATCTGACATTTACTTGAGTACCAAGAACGCAATAGACGAATGCTTCACGACTGATTCACTCCCGCTTGATCAGCTTGTGTCAGACCTCCTAACTAATCTGTAATGAAGAGGTCAAACTGATTTTTAACTTTCACCTTGTCATTACGTATGAAATATATCAGATTGCCTTTGATAGCCTCCTCTCCTTCAACGCTGAACTTTTTACCTCCTCCTGGATATGAGATTGAAATCTATGCTCGCACAGATTTTTTTTGAATGAAGGTTTATTTTAATTATAATTAATTTAACTGAAAGTTAAATCACCTGAAGGGGCGATTCCGGCTCTGTATTTTTCCCATCTCAAATAGAATATTTCTGACGTTAAATAGAACTGAAACATCAGAAATGATTTCACTTGGTCATCAAGGATTTCGAATGTTTGGAGATATACCTCACCCACTCGTTTGACATCAGAAGGCAAAGAGCTGCTAGGACCACTATTTTTTCATATCAAGTTTTGCAAGCCATATCTTTGATTCTACTCCTGAAACGAATTTGCTTTTACTTTCTGCGAATATCCCTCTGAATAAAGCTTTGAAATCTTAAGATGGAGTGACGAAAATCTTGAGCTCCTCATTGAAGGATTTTCCAAAAGATTTGGAATTTTAATTAAATAAAACTTCTGGTACCTCCTTCTCGTTGGCACCCTGGTACTGAGTTAGTGCAATGGGAACCTTCCTATTCCTATCGCTTTTCTGAAATTATCGCCCCAATACCTTCTGTCTGATCTTGAAACGCCTAACTGAACTCCATTGTCATGCGCGAAATAAACTTCGGTTGCTGTTTGTCCTTTACCATTGAAATTCATATCTTCGGTCTCGATTAAAATATCCTCGAATCTAAATATGGAGATGGTGCAAAGCTGCTCTTAACAGATACTGAGAGTCTCATGTTTGAGGTTGAACTCGAGGACTTCAAGAACGATATGAGTATGATGTTGAAGATAAGTTCGACAAAGTAACGTCCCAAAAGATCACCCCTCTAGCATTCCGACTGGCTACATCAAGAAAGTGGTGGGAATGATAAAAAAAATGAAGATGGTGGAAAGAACATTGAAGAGTTCGTGGGGTTGAAAGCAGAACTTTACAGCTTCAAGACGCATAAGGGAAAGGAGGAGGAGAAGTGCAAAGGGGTAAAGAAGGTTGTAGAAGGTTTCAAATCCTGTGGAGTCTCCCACACAAGTTGCTGGAAGGGCAACTTGCGGATAAACAACTTCATAGATTTCTGATGGAGACGGATTTCCCGAAGTGCAACTGTCTCTGGTCTGTAAGGCTAAGGTTTCTTCGCGCCACCCGTAGCGGGAGCGCTTTTGCGGGCTGCCTTAGTGGTTAACTATTTCCTCCTGTTAACTTCAGTCCGAGCTGTTTGCTTGGTACGAGCCATAGCTAACAAGAATGAGAGAGTCAAGCGGAAAGTAAATCTCGCTAGCTTTCAATGTGTGCTTCTGGGATTGTAATAATGTTTCCAACAGAGACTGAATTTGACCATGGATTACAATTTCTAGGTTGTACGTTATTCTTCAGTGCTATCCGATCGTGGCTGCGCATATGAGTGAAAATGTATTTACAAGTCGGTCTTTCGCCTTGCTTTCTTGCCAACGTTATGCTTTCCGAGAGGCCCAGCGACACATCACAGGATTTGAACAATTGTGATCATCAACAATAAAATCTAATTGTATTTATACATGCGAAAGAAGACATAGGGTGACTTTATTTTGTTTAAAAACCATACGTAATCACATTGTTCTCAAGTTTGGTCCTAATCATTGTGTTAGCGCTATTGCGATCAGTTTCGAGCTGCTTGTCTCAAAATTACCTCCAACTGGAGACCAAACTAGTTTCTAGTTCTTAGGAAAAAGGATGGCAAGGAATAGAAAAGTTTAGAGCAAGTTTTTAAACCAAGCTTTTGATCAGCGATCGTACCATTCAAAGTAGAATACATGTCTATGTCTTTAGAACAACGTGAGTACAGTTTTCTCGACGTTGAACCGGCATCCAGTTTTTAAGATAGTGTAAGAGTAACCCAACTTTGCTAAATATCTAGGTGGATATCTTATACTATGTCCATCTTTTTAAGGGAGGACCGAAAGGCCTCTTGCCGATTTTGTAGAAAAAAAAAGCCGAAGGAAGTAAGAAGAGCAATGGAATTAGTGTGGCCAAGAGGCTAGGTTGCTGGACTTGTTATCTGGTTGTCCCTGGTTAAAGCCCTTACCCTGCAACCCAGGGGATTTGTTCTTGATTGCCCCAAATTGACCTCCTCGGCTGCGCTTTGTTTGGCGCACTGTTCTGCCTCTCGCCTCGCCTCTCGCTATTGTTTAAAAAAACCGCGTCCTAAAGCTTAAAGGATATTTATATGATTAAATCCACCCTCTCACGGGAAAACCTGAGGCCAACTGAATGCATATGACCCAGGTTTGGTTTAGACCTCATGTAAATAACCGGCCTGTTGTGCTGTTGTTGTTTTGTTTTTTTTTTAATCTTTGTTTCTAGAATGTTTGTATTGGCCTTGAAAAGCCCGGCCCATTGGAGGAGTGGTTCATAAAGAAAATTTACAATAAAGTTCGGATACAATGCGCGTTGTCTTTGAGTGAGGGAGCGTGCTCTACCACAGTACAAAACACAGAACTGAGCTGAAGCTGTCACTTTTTTCTATGTCGGACCAATTTCCGAAACTCTCCCCAGCTTTTTCCCGTTAGTGAAATTTCGAAACAAGCGAGCTTGCAAGTGCAATAGGACAACCAAATTAAGGTTTGTGAACATGCCAAATGCCGTGATTGATGTTCTAACGTGAGCAGAGACGAAAATCCTTCAAGAGAAAAGAAAATGAATAGTCCGAGTTATGAAAGTTTTCCCGCTTAGTTAGATTGTAAGCTTACGTACGGTAATAAGAATCAAACACTGCTAACACTTGTAAAGTATATATAGTTTCTTGTTCAAAAAACAAAACAGTACAAGACAGGAATAATGAGAAATGTCACAAACCTGGCAGAACTGTTAAGAATTCATACAAATCATGCTAAAGTCCATCGCGGCTAGCTCATCCTGGTGATCTTCGGTCATCGCAGTGAAGCAAGCCTCAGAAATTACATCAGCCACCCTTCTCGTGAACAACTAAGAACTTGCCTTTATATCCTTTCAGATACATTGAGTGGGAAGGCCACATCAGTCACAGCAGCTGAGTTCTACGGTGCCGTCATCCCGAGCAATCTTCGTTTTCTGTCGTTTTTTCATTAAACACACACCTTGAGCATTTTTTTCTTTTTCTCATTGTAATGTTGAAAAACTTGACTGTTTACATGAGCCACATTTCGGCCGAATTTCACTGAACATTGCACTTTCAGAGTCTATTTATTAAGACTTCAGGCAACAGAGTTAAATCTGACCTGCTGAACTATTTCAGCTTGTGAACTATGGTGGTTTGACATTATTGTTGTCAATAAATCAGATTGTTTGAACCATTCTAACAAGGATTCTGATTAGCTAATTGTGCCGTGCTTTATGAGTATAGAGCATGCTGACGACACTGTTGTTCGCTTCGTAAACTATTTCAGAGTCTATTTATTAAGACTTCAGGCAATTGTGTTAAATCTGACCTGCTGAACTATTTCAGCTTGTGAACTATTGTAGATTATGAACTTTGGTGGTTTGACATTATTGTTGTCAATAAATCAGATTATTCGAACCATTCTAACAAGGATTCTGATTGGCTAATTGCCCGTGCTTTATGAGAGTATAGAGCATGCTGACGACACTGTTGTTCGCTTCGTAAACAAAAATTTTTTGGAAAATTGAAAGTGATAGGTGGGGAATTTAATGGATGCTTCATTATTAACAAATAGAGAAGCTCTGTTCTGTTGTAAAGCACGCAAGAAGCCCTGAAGAGGTGGGGAAAAACACCCAACTACGTCTCGTGTTCCTCCCTACACTTCTTTCGTGCTCCGGCCGCTTCCTTCGTGCGTTACATCAGAGCAGAGCAGAGCATAGTCAAGGCTTCTCTATTTAATAAATTAATATTTTTATTATCATTATTCAAAAACTAACGCTAATTATTTTCAAATACGGTATATTTATTGCAAAATATCATATTACCCTACTAAAACGTCAAACACATCTTTGCATTGACAAACAAAAACTCTCAACAAAGTCATAACGGGGCAGGTTAGTTAATGCACTCTACAGTATTGACTTGCAAATGGGAGCTGGAACACGAAAAGTGTCTCCTAAAATGTACTTTCTATCATCAGCACTGCATGAGCCAATTACAAATTAGTGTGAGGTAGTTTTGCAGCTCGTGTTGGTCTTCCGGGACACTTTCTTGATCGCAGAGTCATGGAATGCATTGGCAAACGTACAATTTTTTTGCGAGAGCTGCGTGGCAAAGAACTTGGCTGGGTTACGGGTGAGACAAAAGAGATCGGACTATTGGATGGAGACTGGTAAGGTGTATATTGTCCAGACACTTCTCTTCTGCAAATAGAGAAAAATGTTAGGGAAGCTTAAAACAAGCCACTGCTCAATGAATTATTGTTAATATAACTTTCTATTTTGTTTCTCGATGATGGTATGTTCCATTCCCCCCATGCCAAAAACATAACATCGATGTGGTGTCCTTAACACAACCTTAACTTTAGCTTTATGTACCTGTATCTTATCAGCTAGTTTAGTGACCACCATGTCTTAAACGACAATGAGTACATCAAGATCTAACTTTTTACGAAGCGGAGTACGTTCAGCGACTGAGAAGCAACTACACATAAGCGCTTGTATGTTTTTGAACTTTGTTCCTAAAATTTGGCTTCAATTGTTCATCACTACCACCCGCAATTAGCCTACAAATAGTCAGACCAACTAAACAGAGCAGGACCCCTCTCTGACAAGGTATTGAAAGGTTTTCGATTGCCAATTTGTTCAAGGAAACTATATCACTGTTTCATCATCTTCACCTCTATATATTAACTATTAATTTTTCAGACATGGTGCATAACAGGTAATATTGAAGAAAAACTCCAATGATAAAATTAGCAGTACGTGTTGTATTGGTAACAACATGATTTCGAGTGCAATTTGGTGTTAATAAGCACGAACAAATTTTTCAAAGACAACAAAACAGCACGTTAAAACTCACCCTCCAGATAAGTCAGATAAGTCTGACGGGTTCATTCCAAAAGACCTGCGTTTCGCCATAGAGCGTGTCAGTGGTGGTGAAAATATGTACTCCAGTGAGGGTTTTGCAGGTGTCTGAGCTAACGTGGCATCTGATTCTCCTTGTGTTCCCAATGTTTGAATAAGAGCAGGAGGAGAAAAAGTGTATGATAATTCACTAGCTTCCACTGGTGTTTGGTAAATTGCTGTTTCTTCTTGGTGCGAAGTAAAAAGTAACTGTTCCTCTAGGGCTTCAGGTGGCTGTGGTGATGAGTTGGAACTGGTGGAGGGCACTGTACGGTTGCCCTGTATTTCTTGTATGGGACTCACGGGTACTACATGGGTCTCTGGAGGAGTTAGTGTCTGCAATGATACAAAAATAGAGTGACAACCTTTAAAAAAATTCCTTGATATCATTTGTCTGTTTTCGTAGAGACTAGAATTGGCACCAAAGTACGGTGTGCATAAATCAGTGACACGCAGGACATGTGACAATAACATCTCTAAGAGGTCGTGAAAAGCCGACTCAAATGGAGTTTTGATTTTGAGCTATTATCCTTGACGGAAAGCGCTGGATAAGATAAGGCAATATCCCCATAAATTGTGCTCAGTGAGGTTGGGTGAATATTTCTTTAAACTTTTTAGTTAAACTCTGCCCTTCTTGAAGAGCCGCAGCGGATGTATTTTTCTGCTAGTGTTGTTCTTGGCCTGATTGTCCAACCACAGCTTTGTGTTTTGGTGCGAACTTCAGTAACTTTACAACTTCAGTACCATCTTTCACTTGTCACGCATTCACTAAGTTGCGCCATGTTTAAAAGTTAATTAGTTTGATGAAGTTTATTCAAAACCTCTACACAGAAACATAACTTCATACATAACTCCTAATTGCTCTTATTAAGGCCAAAAAAGCAATTGATCTAATTGAGAGAAGGAACACCACAAAGCCACATGCAGAAAAATAGTGTTTGAGTTTGTGATTGTTTGTGACTATTGTGACTCAAGTAATGCGACACATAAAACAACACCTGACGCATGTCTACTATATCAACAAAGTAAGGAAGTGTTTCAGACTGGAAGTATCTTGAAATCTGAAACTTACCATTTTTTTTGGAGGAGAGTGCCGGTCATTGTCAGAACCAAGTCTAACGATATGGAAACAAAACAAAAAAACAGATAAGATACTCGTTTCAATATCTTGCTCAAGGGTAGTTCTTTTGTGCGACAAAAGCATTAAGCATTGCTTAAGAGAATATTGCCCAATGTTCATAAGTAAAAAGTGATGCCAGTTTTCCAGCGCAAGCTTGGCCACATAGGTCATATAATACTATTTATTATATAAACTACGGTGTTATACAAGGATTTCCAGCCCTGAGAAAACCCGTAACAACACACGTGAAAAAATACGATATTTTTTCACATGTGTTTGACATCGCCAATCAGCTGTTGACACGTCATTCGCCTTCCATGCCACTCGGTCAGGTTGATGAATGAACGGCAAAGCCTTCAAGATTTCTTAATACAAGGTCGTTTGTTGGAACTTTCTCGGATTATTGAAAATCCGTATTGTTCAGAAAGGGACGTGTAAACTTTTCTTAAAGGGGAAGAAAACCAATATACGAAATAAAAACCGTAAGTTACCCATTCAGTGACTTTGGTAATGGCATTTCCCGCGGCTGAGAACGAAAACCGACAACTGGAAGATTTGCCACAGGCCGATTTTGGCCGTTTAACTGACAGACTTCTTCTTTAGGTAAGTCAATAAATGAGATTTTGTAAACTGAAAATTACGCCCATTGTTGTTTTTGTTATCGTGTTTCAAAGCATTTTTCCATCACGAGCCTTAGCGCCAACGCAATGTACGATTGTCGATTCTGCAATTTATTTTTATTTATTAATGAACTCGGCTTTTCTTGTCACTAAGAGGCTATTGTGTTTATATGATAAACAAAATTTATATACGAAATTATTCATCTCGTGTTCAACTTGACATCTCACTCGTTCGCTGCGCTCACTCGTGAGCTATCAAGTTGAACACTCGAAGAGAAAATCCCATATCTACGTGCACCCATGTATTATTCTCTATTTATCCAAGTGTTTGATAGACTGAGTGTGTTGACTTTGACATTTAGCAAACTTGAGGTTTAGGAAAATATTTAATTTAAGTGTTAACTGTCTTAACAGGTATGAAGAAGAAAACACGTCAGCTGCACTTCTTGAAATTAGCCAACACAAAAGCATCCAAGTTAAGTCTCGTGAAAAAGTTTCGCAATCATGCAAACTATAAAAACAGCAATCACGGCCAAGCAAAAAGGCAGTCGCATGCTTATCATTAAGAATATACTTTCTCCTAACACAAAATCCTACAAAAGTCTACGGGAAACATCACCTTATTGTGTCAGTTATTGGCGGTGAAAATAGTCCATTACAATTAAAATAGAAACTTAACCTACAAATATATAACAAAAATACAATGCGTAAAATTTTGATCAATACTGACAAAAAAAATCTTTATAAATCTTAACTTACAGGGGAGGAGAATCTGCTGTTTCCTTCACCGTAACAGATGTTACTTTCGCATAGTGGACTGCAGAAGAACCACGCTCTGCACTTCCACTTTCACTCTCTGCATGTTAAAGAAGAATTCAATGTTCGATTTATCATGGGCTGGGAGGAGGCAAAAGTATAGGGAGGTGTTGCCCCTCATTTGGAGTACGCTAATAAGGATTTTAAATTTGACACAGGATCTGGGCAAACCCTGAAGATGAGGTGCAATGCCAATATGCCTGAGTCAATAACAAGGTCAGAAGTTAGCATCAACCGCAGTAACTCATGTAATAGAAAATGATTTGACGTCGTTAAATTGTTCAGAGGTTAATCTTCGATTAGAACTTACAAAGTAACCTCTCTCCTTCAATATTTGCTTAATACTTCAAATGAAGAGTTTGGTAGAATAAAATGAAACTTAAGCTGCTCTTTGCTGGGCAATTTATGAAAAAGACGAAAGTAGGTAAAAAAGAAAAGGGCCGAAATATGAGTGTGGTAAACTAAGTGAAACGTTGTGTCGGTTATCGTCTTGGAGAAAGAGCTGTAATTCTCTCTTCCCAACTTTATAACAAAGTTTGTTTACCAAGTACTGCATCACTGTCATCCAGCTCGTAACTGCTATAGTCCTCATCATGAGTTTCTGTTTCCTCAGTGTCACTGTCTCCAGTGAATTCCATTACAGCCGCAGTTATCTGAAGCTCAGTTTCTCCTTGTGCTTCGCTTCCCTCAATTTCTATTTCTACTTCATCTACGGATTTAATTGAGATACTGAGGTAAGGTAAACAGCTCTAATTAATACAATAAATTGCCTGCATCATGGCAACGCCAAGCGCAGCTTGGATTTAAAGCGGGATCTGATAGCATAAATGCTTCAGATGGTGCAAATTCGTCCAATAGGCATCAGGTGACTGATTTGAAGAACCCAACCGAGAAAAATTACATTTAATTCAGTGTGACATGAATTTGATACCAACTTGACACATAAGGGCAAGAATATCAAGCTAAGGAAAAATATATAACATCTTACTATGTTACTTGTATTTAAGAACTTAAGCAGCATATGGTGTGTGATGTATGATGCATGATGTACTTGAACGATTTTGGAAGTTAAAAGAGGCTAAATGGCAAGGACCGTCCTAAGTGTCTGCGACTTAGTATTTGATAGTGTGACATTAATTATAAGAACAGGTTGACCTTCATGTTGGCGATACCTTGTGTTTTTGACTGTGGGTCAGATGGCTGGAGTGGTGTAAAGTTCTGGGACAAATCATCCACAGCAATATCCTCATCATGTGTCATGCCAATAACATTACTTTGAGACGAGTCTACTGTTTCTTTGTTTAAGGGAAAAGATGTTGAAACATGCTTCAGAGGACTGAAAAAACAAAAGAGGGAGGTAGTTAACTATCAACATTATTTTACAATGGCAGCTGACTTCAAATGTTGTTTACATTAGAATGTGATATTTTCTCCAAAGATAATGGGCACTTCAGACAAGAAAAAAATAATTTGATATGATGAAAAAAAGAGAACCTAAAATATCTTCTGGTTTACCCCCCCCCCCCCTCCCCTAAAGGACAACACCGCTAAAATTGCTGGTCCAGATTGGTAGGTTTGTTACTCATCACGTTATTCCGCTCCTTTGACGACATCCTGTAATCAATGAAAGCAGTCCAGCGGAGATGCGTAATGCACCTGTTTACCATAGCTTAGTTCAGCTAGGATGAATGAATTAATGAAATGATCTAAATCCATGATTTCTATAGAAAATAACAAGATGAGGAGTCTCTTTCACAAAATCTGGTAAAGCATAATCCTATTAGTTTATATCATGTGTATATTGTTAACAATGACAGTTCTGTTATCATGTGTCTATGCAAATAATTTTACATAAGCCCGTATTATTGAGACTATCGTTTGGTAGATAAAAACCTGTTTATCATTACATTTATGTTCAAATACACGTGCATGTTTGTACCTTGTGGAAGGAGATGAAGCATTTTCACTGGCAAATCTGAGGAAAACAGCGGAGATTATTGGCCAAAGACTACGATTATCTTATGTAACTCACTGAACAGAGGAAATCAAAGACTTTTTGCACGGTTTCCGGGTAAACATGTTTCTAAAATCAAAGAGTAGCTACAGCTGATGACTAAAGAAAAGATAAGAGGTAAAGGTTTTGACTACTTATTATCCCAAGCTGTTAATCTTAATGGCCTCTGGGTAAGACCGCCAACACAAAATTATTGAATCAGTATTTTACCAACCTTATACGTCTGTTTGGAGTTGTTAAATCGTCATTCTGAATGACACCGTCAATAGCTAGAATAAAGAATTACTTAGTTGTTTTCATTCCATTTCGGCTCCTTTACCGTTTTTTTTATTTATTTTTGGCGACATACAACTAACACTAAGGAAAAAACACACTAAATATTGGACCAAATGAAGAAAAGCGGTGCAGTATACCCTGTCTACCATAACACCACATGCACAGGCATCACTTCAGTAACAAACGGATAATTTGAACTAATGTGGATTGTGTCATGTATTTATTAAACATCCACGGCGATTGTCCAATGAGGAAATGGTGAACGTCATCAGACAAACGGATCACATCTATCGATTAACTTAGTAATTTGCTCAATGTTCAACCTTCAGCCCAATCCTTTTCGCTAACTGACTTTGAACAACTAGTTTGAATGGAACCTTCTGTCACAAGATGTATACAACTACTGGCAACGACATATTTAGGTCAGACTGCGGTTGTTTCAATAACACTTTTTTTTGATACAAGTGGAAAAGATACAAACTGAAATTGATTTGATACATTAACAAAGCCAACTTGATACACTTAGAAAGCCGTTTCATTACAACTTCATGCATTTCAATACAAACTAGTGAAGGATAAATTTGTATGTTTTGAACTGTCTACCAGTCCATCGTTTTTCTTGGTAGTTGTATTCAATGATTGCGATTGAAGACAAGCGAACTGAATAATTGCACTGAACACCATGCACCCTTTTGATAGCCACCTAAGGATCAAGATGGTAGGTGGGATACAATACTTAATTTGTTTGGTCACTTATACCGTTGGTTTCATGTGAAAGTAAGTACGCTTTTCAGAAGTACAAGTAAAATTTAGATAACAAATAAAACAGGGAGACATCACTCCGAATGAGCCGTTATTCATGTTGTTCCCAGACGGATCATGGCGCACTTGTTAAGGGAGTTGTGCGAGTGTAATTCGAAACTTGCATGACATGTATTCGCATAACTTGTGAGAGATGCACTCTACGCTGCTTCTTAAGGTTACTTTTGGTTTATCCTTCAGACATCTAATACCATCATAGCAAAACTGACCGACCAGTTTCCTTAAACCAGGTTAAACAATCGACTGAAAAGACCCCCCCTGACTCTACTGAAAACTCCTAGTGAGGTTGTCGCAAAATCGGTCTGTCACCGACAACAATCCTTTCCAGAACTACTCTTATCCGGACTATCGGACCACATTTAAACATTTATATCTATAACAGCTGAAGCGAATATAACAAGTTTGCTAGAATATATATTAATAACTGCTTTAAGAAGTCACTAGCCGAGAATACATAGATAAGCAGATCCCTGGAAGTGCATATAAACAGACCAGTAAATGATACAAAATGGGACCAACCTTGAGTTTCGACAGACTTTGATAGCAGTGGATCAGAGGAGCCACGCCTGGTTGTTGGAGGAGAGGATGTGGGGGAGGGTTGAGGGGAGGGGCGACGCAATACTCTTGTTATCTACATGAACAAAAAATAGTTTTCAGAAGAAAGTTACTTTAGAAGCTTACAAGTAACGGGAGAAAACAGTGCCAGCTTTGCAAAACAATATTTGATTCTGTTACTTTACTAACGTTCTCTAACCGCAGTTATTACCTTTAAAATAGACTGTGGGGTAGCAATACTAACTCCTTCCGGTTTTCCCAAAGATGATCTTGCTGACGTCTGGCAAAAAGTGAGACAAGAGCTTACACGTGCATTAACTCATTTCACAAAATTACTCAGAGTACAGCAGAACATGTTTAAAAATTCAAACGAGAAATACATTAAGTGAACATGCTAAATTCAAATTCATTAAAAAAAGTATATATCTCACCGGGTTTAATTTCACGACTGGAGGAGTGGCCAACAACGAAAGAGCTTCAGCACCAGAGAAAAACTGCCGCCGACTTAAAAAAGAAATTAAACAAAACAAACGTCTTGAGAACATTACTAGGGGAAACAAAAATTGTACTGAAATTAGTTTACAATTGGGATGGCCGGAATGATTAGGTTTCAGAAAACTTGCATTCAGGATTTGCCAGCGTTCTTTCAGATATGGTCTCATTTTCTTTGAGAGAGAGAAATTCCTCTAGCCTCTCGTCCATAGGCCAATACCAGTTCAAAGCTAAAGAAATTTAGCACCTACACTCTACACCACACCTGTCCTTTTTATGTTCTTTCGCATAATCTTTTCTAGTAGTAGGGGTAATTTATATTAATACTTTTCTTTCTTATTTCCGAATCTGGTGAAAGATCTAGATAAATGAAATGTTATCATTCAAAAAGAGAGAAGACTAACTATTTTAGAAGTTTATAAAATGAATTGTCATCATGTTCCCAACGCAGTTGGAACTAATTCCCTGATTCGACTTATTTAGTCCTTTAGAAACAGGACAAACCAGAGAAGCAAACAAAACAAAGTAGAAAAAACAAAAACCAATGAAACCAACAAACTAACAGAAAAGCTAAATTCCTCGGTAAAGGAGTATACATCATACCTTCTCTTATCCAGAAATGTTGGTGAGGATACTTGTTTTAAATAGTTTCCATTCTCAGACTAAGAAACAAGTAGATAGATGGAATTAAAGATGATTAAGTTATGGTGATGGCTACTTGAGAGAAATTGTTGACAAGTCACTCAAGGAAAATCCATTATTTGCAAGGCGTGAACAGCATTAAAAATTACCAAATAAGAGAGTTGCTGAAGGTAAACCCCGAGAGCCCCTCTCACTTATTATTACCAACCATTACAACTGCAACAAAGATGAAGAGTAATCGAGAAAGGTATGGGTTATCTCTCATTGAAAGTACATGGTGGTCCACCTGAAATAGTGAGGTAATTTCAACCTCAAATAATGAATTTATGCTACTGATGCAATTATTGAACAGTCGACATTTTGTTCAAGAGATCTGTTTTGATGACTGAACACATTGTTTTGGAACTCTCTTCTTCAGGTTTCAGAGAGGGTCAAATTTTGGTAATTCTTTAATGTCCCTGAACAAATGTATTCGAGCTACTATGAGCCTAAAGAACCGTTCCTTTGCAGTATATCGCAAGATCAATCATGTTCAATAAGACATGAAAAATATTAAATCCTCTATTGGTCTGTTAGACACCACAGCGATGAATTTGAATTTTGTATTGTAGTTACTCCTTCAAAAAATGCTTCAGTCCAGCTAGTTTGCCCATACATTTAAGTTTGGGAATTACCTTGTTACTTGCCAATGTATCCTCCATAGGTTGTTTATTTTCTGACGCGTAAAGAACCCCCACCTTATTTGAATCACTAGGAAAAGACATGCTTATTCTTAACAACCTTTTACAAAGAGAAAGTGAAATTCAATTATGAATAACTACTAAGAAGTCCCTTGCTAGCCATCCCTCATGATGCTTCAACACTGAAAGAAACATAACGTTATAATGCTAGTTTTTGAGATTTACACCTGTGAGCAACAGACTTTGTTTTGGACGCTATAATATCGAGAAAATCAGCATTTTAAGACAACAGAACAACAAAGCAAACATCCTAAAGATGGACACGTTTATTCAAACCTGTATACCTACATACTTTTTAGACACAAAAATTAAATTTTTAGTTTTGAACACTATGAAGTAGTTCCATCATTATTCAGAAGTTCTCTCTGACATAATTTTAGCACCCTCCTATTGGATAGACTAGACTTAAGACCCTTGCTTATTTTATTGTCCTGGTAAACGTAAAGCTCAGTCTTGTTCAGTGCTTTTCTAAACAGCCGACAGGGTATTGTCTAATATACCACGATCTGGGTGTTACCTGAAGCTGCTTTTTGTTCTTGGAGTCACTGAAGTACAGATGAAAGGTTCTGCTTCTTTCTGGGATGCAAGCTGTTCTGCTGATCTGCAAAGAGTTAGATTAACCATTGCTATGACAGAACAATGTGGCAGATGTCATTCCCTTTGGGTAAAACCGTGTCACAAATCACAACAAATTGAAGTTTCCTGTGTGAGTGTAAGGCTATTGAAACTCTTTCTGATGTTATCTTCCATGTGTAAAATAGACTAAAATATTGTCAAAAAACATAAAAATATTAGCTCAACGTCATACATGATAAATATCAGTGTTACCTTAATTCCTGCAGTTTGTTCATAGCTGAGCTCAAAATTACAGCACGAGAGATTGGATTGCCTTTGTCTACTTTGTGTACAACAGTCGACAGAGGTTTGGGTCGTGGAACTGCAAATGGCCAAACAATTACGGTAGAATGAGCACCTGTAAGTGACTGTTGCTTACAGTGTAGGCATGTGACTTCTTCGTAAAATTTTTTTTGGCCTGAGTAATTTTGAGCATATAACTTTTTAGCCATATTACAACCTTGCTCATGGGCTCATGTATCACAGGTGCGTCCATTTTGAGAAAGAGTAATAATAAGGCCCATGCAAAACCCACACAAACCGCATTTCAATCGCAATAAGCGAGCTGCATTTGTGAACTTCTTTCTCTAACCATTGACAAAATGATAATATGAACTTAAAATACCTTAAAATACTTTATACAAGTTTAGTTTCTTTGCAGTAATAGCCCTGCCTATTTCGATCCACAAGCTAGGACACACTCATATCTGAGTTATTTCTCGAACCTTTAACAAGACTCTCCCTATTCAATGAATCCGCCGAGGGAAACAAACTAATCAATCGGAAAGATTGCACTATGCCGTTTCAGTGAAGAACAAAAATAAAGTACGATGATTTGTGTAATGATGTGGTGTCACTCACAATTTTTCAACTGCATACTGCCAGCCCCTCTGTAATTTACTGTTGAGCACGTACTGTCATAGATGCGACTCAAATAACATCATCAACTTGATGATGGAATTACTGAATGTAAATTTTACAAGCATGGATGACCACAATCACTAAATACAGTAAAGAGAAGGTTGTCTCTCACGGCAGACAGCCAAGGAAACCAATTGCCGAAATAGAGGTGACTGACAACAAAAAACAACTGACCTTGTCACCAAAATCCAAGCGATTATCAAATACAGGTGACCAAGTCAACCTCACTCCAAATTAAAACTGGCAGCATGCAGTCTAAATGTTGCAATCTACAACACAAGTGGCCACACGGATCTAGCAACTTATCAATCCAATTAAGTCATAAGTCGGCGCAAGTCATAAGGAGAAATAAATTAAAATTTTCCATAACGTTTGACAAAATGTATACTGTATACTGTGCGTACTTTCAGTCAAGGTCACATGTTGTTGAGACAATGTCTTTTCAGGTCCAAAGGTAAGTTTGCGTTGTACTCTTGGTAAACATCTCAAATAAGCGTCAGCCAGGGCATTTCTCACTTTAGCTCTCTCATCTTGCTCAACCTAAAAATTAATACATCAGTAGAGGTAGATCAGTACTAAATGTAGTATGACTGAAAGCCACATTCAATTCAAGGGTTAAGTAGCAAAGCTGTAGATTTTGCAAAACAAGAAACCAAAACAAGAAATCAAGAATTATCTAAAGATGAAAAAAAAATTATAATAGCTAGGTATTTACAGTTTGTTTCACAACGTTTCGACCGCGTGGTTTCCTTCGGGTGATGAAGTAGACTTGTCATATGTCACCATTGGAAGCATTATACTGTGCGGATTTCAGTGATCAGTTCTTTTAGCGTTTGGCCATCACTCTGCTCTTCTGTTGTTTGTTGTGTTTCTATATTGTTAGCAAACTTGCTTCTGGAATTTATATTCCCTGACTTCTTTAGAATGGCCTGTTTTACCACCGATGTGTATTAGCGATAATCATGGTCAATAAACTGTTCCCTTGGTATGCATGCAAGTGACTAAGACGTCTATGGTATACTGAATGATTCTTTCCTTCATGGGTTTTCCGCTCTCACCGAAATAAACCCGGCCATAATTGCATGGGCTCCCGAATGCGGTCTACGCGTAGTCCCCAAGTTAAAAACAGCGCATATGTTGCAAATTTTTGCGGACACGTTTCTAGCTAAGGTTGTGTTGATGTCGCAATCCACACAAGAACTGACTATATCGTGAGATAAACGCTAAACCAGCTACCATTATCATGTGATAACTAACCAAAACCCTTCCAAGACAATTAAATTTAATACAGATATAATAATATCCCTCTAAAATGCAAGAACGCAACACAAAAAGCTCCTACTATAACAAACCAATTTATCCTTTTTGAGGAGTTCATTTAGCCTGATTCCTTCCACATAACGTCCTTTTTGAAAGTAGTACATCACGAGCAGTTCCTTGGAATGTGGAAATGTTTCTTCTTGAAGAAAATTTGCCAAGAAATCCTTACAAAACGAAAATTATCGCATCAATAGTACATACGCATGGGCCTGAATAAATTGATGGCATTTGTACTCATACAAGGTATACAGCAAAAACCTTTTAAACCTAGCATTCAAAATGTTTCAAGGTGGAAGAAGTGCTACATTAAGCAGACAATAAAAAATGCGAGTGCCTCCTCCATTTTGACTCAAAGACAAAAATACATGTTCTCCACTCAATTCAAGGTGGCTTCCCTTGATTTATCACAGGCACGAGTGATACAAGTTCTTCTCTGTCTCATCCAGGTTGGAATGATGCCTCACGAACTCAGTCAAAATTGCATACCTTTTCAAAAAGGTTACCGTAGGTGTTGAAAAGAGAAAAAATTGCGAAGGAAAAAACACCAAAATTTCATTCAGTCTTTCCATTCAAAGTCGGGGTGGTGCTCAACTGAGACATCAGTCCGAGTCACAGGTAAATGTTCTCTTAATTTGTTTACTGTGATGGAGACCTCTTCAGAGCTTTAACTAATTATTTATGGCTTTGGAGGTTGTTAAATTTGTTATCTCGGGAGTACATCTAAACTCCCGGCAAATCTCTGAGAATTTCCCACTCCTTATTATCATGAACAATCTCAATAAACTTGCACTCGTTTAAGCAGTGTAATATTGTACAAGCCATAAACAAACCTCCTCGGTAAACTCTAGAGGGAGCTGTAGAAGTCTGGTCATGTTTTGAGCTATTTAGAAAAAAATTTCAAAAAAGCAGATAACAATCACTTAAATGATATGACTGTAATTGTCAGGAATTATTTCCTTTTCAAAGTCAACTATTACTGTAAAAGGAAACCTGATGAAACTCTTTTCGACGGATCAAAGGGGTAAAAACAAAAACAGTTTTTATTGCGAACTAGGGATGATAGACTAGGAGTCCACGAACCAATCAGAATTCTGATCGGTTCCATCAATAGTCTTTAAGCTAATATTATCTTCATACAAGGACAACAGTTTAACAAGGGGAAACATTTTCTTTTCCGTAAAATATTTTGAAATCCTCTCATTTCAGAACGGTGCATGCTATTATCACTGTGCACATGGGCTGCGCATCATGGGTTCGCGCGTGGGTTAAAAAACTAAGCTCCTGCAATGATCACGCAAGAAACCAACATTTCCCATATTTGTAGCAATTCATTTGCCAGTGAAAGGCTTTGTCCTCTTTATTTTACAAGTCGAACTGGTCCTATCGTGACGCCTTTGGTCCAAACCAAACAATAAAACGTAGTGGACAATATGTCCCCATGAACATTTACAAAGGAAAGCTAAAACAAGGTATGACGACAAATTAAATGTCCTAAAATAGCTTAGAAAAACGAGCAGTTTACCCTATTTCTGATGACAACACACACAATTAATTTTGTACTCAGTTAAAAACTATTCAGACAGTAGGTTTGGTTGTGCAAGTGAGAGTAATCAGGGTTAAAACTTTCCCTAATTCAATTGTTAATTTAAAGATTCTTATATTCACTGCTGATTTTGTTAAAACAAATAGCCGATTTCAATAGAATTGGCTGGGAAATTTAATTTTCCTTCCCTTTCTTAAAATGTAACACCGGCACTATTTTCAGGTTTTAAACTTATTCATTGCGGAATGTCGTGTGGCTATCCCAAATTTTCTTTTTTGATTTTGATAGTCCTTGATAAGATTTATTTTGTTTGCACAGTTACTGACATGGCAAGGTATTGACTTTACCTTATTTATGCCTATTTTACATTTAAATAATTGACCATTCCAGAGGGTGGTTCTAACACACATCAGCTGCTTAATAATCCCATCATTTACTTCATGTCAGAGGCAAAAAGAAAACAATTAGTATACTCACTCTGCTGACAGCTACTGAAGAAATGATAGAGCAACTCTTTGCACCTTCTCGCATTTTGATGACATTTCTGGAAATCAACAAGCCAGATGTTAAAGGACACAATACGGAAATTTCTGTTCTGCAAGATGATGTGCTCTTTTAAAAAGCATATACAAGGATCAAAATGAGTGTTACATGTAGTCTTACCTGAAAGTGATATGCCTCTATTACTTTTCTAAAAAAGGAAAAAAAGACGTCAACCTCATCCCATTTTGCTTTGTGAATAAGGTTCATTAGGCTCAACTTGGTTCATATATAAGTTGCCTTTGTCAAAACTACTGTCAATTTAAAGTGCATGTCACCCGCAGATTTTTTTATCTGGTTGAGAGTCAATTGTTCATGATATCGAGCCCCGTGTGAAACTTCTTAAGACGACTTGGAAGGTTTTTCCGTTCGTATTTATGGCCCGAGGTTCCTTATGTTTCAGTAAGGACTGAAAAAAACGAGGTTAGTCAGTTACTTACATGTTTATTATATCACTGGTTCAATAAGAGGGAGAAGACTACAATTCAAACAAACTTTTGCATTTTGTGAGAGGCGCGGTCAAATACGGCCTGCCAAATCGACAAAACATGGCGCACATACTATTTGAGATATATGATAAAATATTAAAAATATGCAACATAGGCCACATATAATAAACATATATTGTAAAAAATTAAATATTCAATATATTAATTAATTAAATATATATATATATATTAATATAATTTTAAAAAAGGCCATAATTCTGTCTCCTACTTAGACCCTCTCTCACTCTACATGAAGATTAAATCAATGTACCAAAAAATAACTGGAGATCTTACCCATTGGTCAATAATGCAGTGATATATAACATGACGTCACTGAACTCCTGAATAGTGGGAAATGTGACCTTCATGTAGTGCAATGCTTTTTGAGGCTCCCCTGAACATAAAGTCACAAACACTTTAAAATTAAAGTACATAAATTAACTTGTTTAAAATTCCTCAAAACACCATTCCAGTAAAAGATTAAAAAGCACACATGTGTAAGAACACAAATTGTCAATTTTTCCTACAGAAATCCTTTTTCCCCCCACAAAATTGGCATAATTCTGTACATTACCATTTACTCTCTGTGCCTTGATAACGTACGAGTTCTCATTAACTACTGTAGTTGTGGGGCATGTGATTGAAAAGGTCTTAGAGTCACATCACCACAAGAAGAAAATTAAGAACACAGATTTGGCCTTTGTCTCCCAGTCAAATAGTCATGCATCGTGTTTCCTTTTAATCTATGACCAAGCTTAATATATAGATTTAGCCAAGCCTAAAAGCGGAGCCCGCATTTTTTTTCCCGCAAGGGCACAACGCCTTGCCCCGGCCAGGACTAGAACACGGGTCGTCCGACTCGGAGCCCAGTACACTGACCACTGGACTACTGGACAAAGCCGTGGCGTTGGCGTGCCCGCGGAACAGTTGACCACGCATGTTTAAAGTAGCACCTTGTACGGTCGTACATCCTAATTTTTTCGGCTTGATTTTGTATAATTAAGGGGCTACGCTCTGCGAGCTCCGCTATAATTAAGCATTTACAAAGAGTTCCCCCCATTACCATCTAAAGAAAAACAGAGAATGACACAAATGCACAAGCACAGTGATAGGACACGCTAGTCAAAATGAAGTGAGTAAAATTACACTGTAGCTTCCAAAGGGTGTATCTGAGGATATGCCTGGTTAAATCTTTTTCAGTCCGGTAGAAAAAAAAAATTTTTTTAGTTCACAATGGCATGCACTTAATTTACTTGAATTGTCCTGTGTTGTCCACCTGGCCACCTCAAAGTCAACCGAAATGCCAGAGAGTTTTTTGACAAAACTCTTACATGTTACTTTCTTGTTTGAGACAAAGTGCCTCTTCATTCAGGGGACAACAATGATTAATAACAAAAAAAGAAAATAAAACTTGATAACTTGAAACCTGAGGAAGTGGTTTTGTAGCCTCATTTTTTTGTTTCCACAAATTTGCCTTTAGTTTGTTTCAGTTGCCTCATTCATTTCCATTATTACATTTTGGGTGATTAAACAATTTTGTTCATTTCAGGTTTTTGAGCATGCAGATCCAATTGAATAAAATAATGTATTTTCTAACTGTACTGGATGTATATCTCATGCATAGTCCGAGGTAATTCATTAGATGTGGCAAAAAACAAAACTCCTAAGTTTGAAATTTTACATGTACTTTTGGACACTTTCTCAAATAACTTAACATGCATTATTGCGGTTGCCCTGTAATTGTCACAGCATTGCAATTTTTTACCTTGTGCAAGTAGAGTCCTGATAATAAAACTTCTCTGCCAGGGACCAAGTTCAGTTACTATTACTGGATCAAGTAAGGTTGTCACTGCAGCCTACAATTACAATAATTGCACTTGGTAAGTTGTTGCTCTGGTTAGAGGCTAAAGGATGTCCCAATATGATCAGTACATAACACCAAGGAAATGCTATTTCTGACGAATGAGCTTGGGTAGAAGGCTGTTGTCAGCACGAGACACTGCACGGCCTGGGTACCAGGCCAGTGCATCACGAGGTAGGAAACTAAAGGTATATAAGAAAGCGTAAGCATGTGATAGTCATCTGGGTCTCTTAATCAACCTTGGAGTCAGAGCTCCATTTAGTTCAATTTTAATGTTATAGTCAGCTAGTTTTGTTCTTGTCAAGCCTCCGTAGGCCTCTGGTCTACACAGATTTCCTGCTTTTTCTGGCCTCTGTTCTAATCATTCTTACATTGTTACTGGTTTCTCAGCTACATCTACTAGATGTATCCAATGTTTCTTTGTTTTGTTTTGTTTCTATACATGTCTTTAACTTAGGCTGTTTCATATAAGGTGCTTTTCAGTGGTTCTACTTCGGTGACATGTAGATTGGTACCATTGCTCTTAACTATAGACTCCTTACATCATGTTATTTGCATTTCCTTGGTAGCCTTGTTATTTTTTTTTTGGGCAGTTTTTTTAAGCCTAATTGGCATGTTTCGTTTGTATACCTTTACAAGAGGGGACTTTTTGGTTCAAATAGGGGGCTCTCCATCCTAACTAGCATTTGTACGCCAGGTTTACGCAATTCTAAGATTTATCAGCCCAACTGGCATGAATGATTTGAACATATGAGAATTCTGTAGTGTACTTCTCAGCCTAACTGACAGTCTTATGAAAAGCTTGTTGGATTGAAAGTTTGTTAGCCTATCTGGCCTGTACGATTTGTACATGTGTACATATTTGGGATTTTGGTTCAAAGTGGTGGACTTCCCAGCCTAACTAGTAGTCTTATGCAAAGCTTGTTGGAATTGTAAGTTTGTTAGCCTATCTGGCCTTACGATTTGTACATGTGTACATATTTGGGATTTTGGTTCAAAGTAGTGGACTTCCCAGCCTAACTGGCAGTCTTATGCAAAGCTTATTGGATCGCAAGTTTATTAGCCTATCTGGCCTTACGATTTGTACATGTGTACAGATTTCGGATTTTGGTTCAAAGTAGTGGACTTCCCAGCCTAACTGGCAGTTTTATGCTAAGTTTGTTGGAATTGTAAGTTTGTTACTCTAATGGCATGTGTGATTAGTACACGTGAGTATATGCGAGATTTTGGTCCAAAGTAATGGACTTCCAAGCCTAACTGATAGTTTTACGTTAAGTTTGTTTCATTTTCAATCAATCATGCCTACCTGGCATGATTGATTGTACTTGTAGTTTTAGTTTTAGATTTTAGTTCACAGTAGTGGATTTCTCAGCTTAGCTGGCAGTCGTGTGGAAAGATTGTGCAGATAACAGCCAGTTTTGCATGGACATCATGTTAGTAGCTGTGGTAGCATGTTCTACCTCTTTAGGACGAACTGTCAAAGTTCACTCTCGACAATTTACTTTACCTTGTTCACATAAGCTCTTGCTGACATTGTAATGTCATACAGGCCTTCCCCAAATAAACTTATTTGTCAACAAGCTTTGCTGTTTACGTGCTGTTTAGTGGAGACTAAATTTAGATATACAGTGGAACTTCGTTGATATGATCACCAATGGGCCAAAACAAATTGACCCTATTAATGGGGTGGCTGTGTATCACCAGGGCAGGGTGAAATTTCTAAATTGCTTTGCAAGTTACCTTAGCGGATGTTAGTGTCAAGATTCATTCCCTTTGTCAGGGTTTTGATGAAAAAGGGAGGAGTTTTGTATACTTATTTTAAAAAAAAACCGGCTTTTTGAGTAAAAAATGACGGAGTTTGATAAAATCAACATGTCATGGTTGGTTTGGTTTTCGAGATTTAACACTAGTATGCGTATCAAAAGGGTGAAATTATAAAGAACTGTACTGTTTGGGATTTTAAAATGTGGCCGTTGGCCATGTTAATGGTGACCGAATTAACAAGATTTTTTTCAGCACGAAAATGTATAGGCCACTTTGCAGGGCCATAAAAGTGTCTGTAATTAAAAGGTGACTGCATTGCTGAATTGGCCGTAAGGCAGGGTTCCACTGTACAGTGTCATGTCAAATTTTTTTCTCAGCTCCAAAACTTCCAAGAAGATGATTATTTAATTATTTTTTAAAAGGTCACCAGGAATTTTCATTAGGCTTGATAAACTTCTTAATTGAATTGAGATTGATTTTCCAATGACAAAAATCGTGCTTTCCAGAATAGTTTATACTTGCCTGACAACCCGCTGCATGTGGATCAGACAATCTCTCATTGATATTGTCAAATTTAAAAATCAACACGTATGTGTCCACTGCAAAGAAGCAGAACGAGATAAATCTTTACCTCAAAGTCTTGGTGATCAAGAAGCCAAAATCCTTGAATGAGTTTGATCAAATCCTCTGACATGCTGAATGCTTTGGCAAATTTGGTGGCCACCTGATACCCATACAAAAAAGAAAAAAATGTTTTATTGATAACATACTATCACTGTTATCATTCTATAAGGACCCTCATCGTGCTGACATGGCATTGCAAATAATTATGATTACATTCACTAAATCTGTAAACCAGAATAGCATCAAACCATGTCAAAAATAGGTATGTCCAAGTATTTAGAAACAAAGGGCATACAGTGTACGTATAATTCTATGGTAAAGAAAATCTTCAAATGCAAAAAAAAAAAAATTGTACCTCGTTACTTTGCAGTTCAGTATCCAGAAAACATAAGTCAAGCAACAGATAGAATACCTAAAAGCAGTTAAAGAATTACATACATTCATGTACAGATTAACTGTTGTAACAAATGTACAGTGCAGCCAAAATAACTACTTATTAACTAAAACTTTTACAGTATAATCATAACATTATTATATAAACCAAGATTCCTCACAAATAGGAGCGTTTAATGTCCTAGTATATACGAGAAATTGCTTGATAATAGCAAGGTGCTGCTGCTGCAAATACAGAAAAAATGAGGCTGAATCAAATAAACAAGTGATTTATTCATTTTCCACAGCCAAAAGTGATTTAAGTTAAGGAAAGTCATTTCCAAGTTATACATGAAGGATACAATGGCATGTTTCCATTTAGGATGCACCTTTTCAAGAAGGTAAAGACTGCACAGACTCTAAAAAGAAAATTTTTCAAAACTCTAACATAACTGCAGGTAAGAAAATAAATACAAAAATCAAACTAAGGAATGTAAAAAGACCCATTTAACAGTAAAAGTAGGCTTATCATTGTTGCACAGAAATTTTCAGCCATCTTTTGGTGACTTTTTGGCTGCTCTGCCTAATACAGTATTAGGCAACAGGTGTATGTGTAACTTTGTACCCTGTAGTTTTCCCAAATGAATAACAAGTTTAAAACAGATTTCGTTGCTTAACACCATGATAAGGGCTCATAATAGATGTTTACTTATTTTAAGTTTCAAGTTTCAAGACAATTGTTCCTACAAACTAAAAAACTGACATCTGCAAACACATCATTAAATCTTGAATGGGAGAATTCTTGACACCAAATCACATAAAGCTTAGAAAAGATTTTAGCCACAGAAAAGTGAACATTTACAGCTAAAGGTATGTGCCTCTTCCCAAAATGCCTTCAATGTCAGACATTTATAAATAGTGTTTATACTTAAACATATATATATATATATATATATATATATCACTTGTATACAGATTAAGAAATGAATATGAAAGCAATATTCAAAGTAATGAACACTACTTAAGCAGCAATGAAAATAAGGCCTGAAAAAAATCAAGGCCTGTACAGGATTTGAACTTATGACTTCTGCAATACTGGTGGGGTGCTCTGCCACCTAGAAGCTGCTCGTTATGTTGGTTTGCAATTTGTCATTATGAACCAACATAATGACCAGCTCCCACTTGGCTTGTTAGCTCAGTTGGTAGAGCAATGCATCGGTATTACAGAGGTCATGGGTTCAAATCTCATACAGGCCTGAATTTTTTTCAGACATTTTGATTACCAAAAGTGCCCACGATAAAGAAAATAATGCCTTCTGTCAAGGCCACTCGGCAAACAGAAATTTTGCCCCAAATTCAGACAAAGATATGTACACTTTCTATGATAGGAACATACATGTAAACTGCTAGGTGGGTACTGCTGGCTACCTCCCTTAGATATCCACTGGCTCACTCCTTGACAGCCAAGTTGGTTAATGACTTTGTCTACCATCAAGCCGACTGAGCCAGGGTGACTATGACATAATAGCAAAATTATTCTGACAGAATAACAAGAATGAGGTATAGAAGCTGAAAAGGAACAATTAAAAAATATTTTGCAAATCTGAAAACATATTTAGAATCAACATCTTTTAGACAAATTGCTTTTAAAAAGTTTGTCAAATCAAGAAATAAATTTCAAAGCCTGGTTTAATTCATAGATCCACAAATGACTTTCATGAAAATCAAAAATGGTTTACCATGCCAAAAATCTTTCAAAAATCCAGAAAATTTTTGCAAATTGAGAAAAATATTTTGTCATGTAACACTAGTGCCAGTAGTCAGCACTTTGTCAAAATACAGCACAGAGAAAAAAATTTCCCCTTGCTATTACCTGAGGGAATATTTCTATTAACAAAAATAATTATATTTACAAATACTTATACTCCAGTATGTTGTTGTTTTATTTTTTTAATTGTTTCCTTGTGTAAAGCTGCAATTTTTAAAAACTGGATCATTGGATAATGCAAATCAAGAGATTTCGTTGACTTAGCCATCATAGGTTATGAGCTATTATACCAATCATGGTAATGGTTTTATTATTTTGGGGTGTTTGTAATAAAAGAATAATTCCATTTTTTCTTGTCGGATATGAGATGATTATCATCTCACATGCAATGCTGGCTTGTGGAATAATTGTTTAACCCTTTAACTCCCATGAGTGACCAAGGCAGAATTTCTCCTAATAATATCAATACAATATCAATCAGATAAGTGAAGAGAATAAAAAAATATATAAACTTGAGAATAATTAGTTGACCCAATACTAAATTCTTAGAACTAACATTCTAAGAATTTTATAGTTGATAGTAAGGAGAATTACAAATTTGAACTGGGAGTTAAAGGGTTAATAACTAACCATTAGCTCACAATAATTGTATAGAGTTGAACATGGTAGCAGGAATTATCAAGCTGACATTTGTAGTTATTTACATTTATGCAAAATCTTTTGGTGGAAAACCCAAGCAGAACCCTAAACTGTGCTATCAAGCAGAAGCTGTTTCCAAAATCCTACACTTACTATGTGCTTAGAAGTAAATGTCTGTATATTGACTGTGTCGCATCACTGCTCTATGAGTGCTGGCACATGTCACCTTTTAAGTGTTCTGTACATAACTCCACATGGAGGTCTTTGTTTCAGTCCATTTCAATCACACATAAAGGATATACTGAGTTTATCCTCTTATAAGCTAAGCTTGGCTATGAGGTGCTCAAACTTGCAAGACTTAGTGATGGACTAAGCTCATTGACTAAAATCCTGAAAACTCTCAAATATAAGTCAAGACCCAACTTTCTTGTCTCATGTCAATTCCAATGAAAATTCAGCTGAGATTCAGTTTCAATTCTTTAATCATTGAAATTGACATAAAGTCCTATCTTGATATCTTCACCAGAGTTTCTTTGTTCATCTGTGCAAGCCAAAGCATTTTAGAGTCACAGGAATTGGAGGATGTATGCTTTTCTAAAACTGATCTGGTCATAAGTAAGAGATGTCTGTGAGGATTTTTAATTTCCTAGAGATTATTTTGAGAAAAACTATCAAAACCTTTCAGCTCATTCCTTGTAGGAAAAAAAGAGTTAAAAAACAGCTCAGCTTGTTCAGTGTAGGCAAACAAACATGGTTGTCGTTGTGTAAATACTTGTCTAAAAGTATTTGGTAATGAAAACAGTTCATGTCTGTTCAAATTTTTGGCATTCTTGTAACCGTTCACAAAAAGGCTACTTTTACTAACTTGAAATTCCAGTATTAAGAAATAAGATAATGTTTTCTGGAAAGACTACAGAGACTTAACATTGAATCCACAAAGGTATCTCAGAAATTGCTGCAAACTAGTTCCTGAGTTGAATATAAATTCAAACATTCTCAGAGACTACTGTGTAAAAAAAGTGTAGTTACTGTTTAACCCAGTGATGAAAGATGTACATACCTACTACAAAGGTTTTCCAAGTCTTTACGTCTGCTTTCACATGCACTAGAAAGAGGCACAGCAGGGTAACAGTGTCCTCTGTATAAAAGTGATAATAATCTTTTACTATCTGTAAAGCTCCAAACCAAGTATGTGAGCCATCAAACCTTTCCAGTCTATTCTACCACTCCACAAATTGGCTTTCCTACATTACATGAGATCATCTATCTTCAAAAAAAAAGGCTATCCTTATTCTAGTTCAGAAGGTTCTTTAACCTGCATGCATGTTTCCGTTAAAAAACTTAAAATCACTTTCTTGTAGAGATAGATCTCACAGTGAAAATGCACTGAAGTCACAACCTTCTAACAAATATACAACATCACAGCCTATTATGTAACCAACAACTAATTAAGGGAAATTGTCTATTTTCTGCACCTTTTACTTCCTGTAATTGAACCCTCTAAAAAGAAAGGAAGAAAAAAAACAACATAAACAAAAGACAAGAGGAAGATAAAATAAAGTCCAGTTAGTTCAAACTTTAGGTCTTTAACTCTGAAATAGCAATCAAAGCATGTGGCCCACATGTAGTAGGCAATCATTTAATCGCAATTGTTCTCTAACTTCATCTTCCAGTAGAAAGACTGTATCAAAAACATCAGCTGGTGACAAAATCTTAACAATGATTGAAAAGCTTATCAAAACAGCCAGTCACCAGACAAATATCTGTGCTGTAGTCAATTAATCAATGGTTTTCTTCTTTAGCCACCACCCTAGTCTAAATATTCTGACCTGATTGTTCAGGTAATAAGCCTTGTCCAATGAGCCAAAGGACAACTTTAAGATACTGAAATAAATATAAAAAATTTAAGCCAACATATAAATAACAGCCTTGTGAAATATAAGGGAGTTTTTCAAGATTTGTAAAAGGTGACTTACCATAATTACCTTTAAAAGACAATAATCACTTTGATTCATAATTACTAAACCCTGTATCTTCAGGTTAGAACAGGTGCTAGATAATTTTATCTTTTAAAATCTTCTTAAAAGTTTGATGATGGGATGATGATGATAATGATAACGATAATGATAATGACAATGGTTCATTAGCATATCCATCAGAGGGGTGGCTCTTCTATGCTACAAACTAACTACCAACTAGTTAAAAATCTATCACTATTACAAAATTGTGCATACTGCATAATTAATTTTATATATAAGAATTATCTAAGGCTTCTATTTAAGGATAAACTTACATATTTACAAAGTGACTATGACTAACTAATATAATTATATACAAATATTAGCTAAGGCATTTAACAGTGACCATCAGCTTTTGTACTTAATATGGCTGATTATTCTTGCAGGTGTATTGCCACTTTTGCTTGTGAAAGTTGTGGTGTGAAAGTTGTGTTGTGGTGTGGTGTTCACTTGTGAAAGTTGTGGTGTACCATGGTATAACTAAATTGAGTACTGATGAGGATCACAAAGTGTGCTGGTGAACACACACCTCCAAGGGGAGATATAGAGGCTATTTTTCACGATTCAGTGCCTTGTGAGTAAGTTTGCACAAGTTTCAGTTCATGTTTTGTTTGACAGGCAGCCAGCCCAATTTCAAGATATCTGACAAGTCTGCATACTCACGCGTGACCAAACTGGCAGCTGCTAACTGGACACGCTGCAGCTGATCAATCAAATAATTTGGCACTTGATGAAATAAAACATCATTATAACTAATTCTTGACAGAACAAGACATTCAGCCAATTGTTTTCTTGCATGGAAGGGTGCAAGATGCTTCATTTTTCTGAGTACAGCAAGCATACCATAACATGCGAATGTTTTAGACAGAATGTTGCGGTTCCATTTTAAGTGCTCATGTAGCTCTGATCCAAGGAGTTTGGCTGGCTTTACCCTCTCGAGATTAATTCCATTTGCATTGAGATGCAACTGATAATCCTGGAGACCGTGAACACTGGCAAGCTTTTCAGTTGAGAACATTATTACTTTCATTTTTGTTGAGGTTTAGGCTCAGGTTGGATTCAGCTGACCAGGTAGAAAGCATGTCAAGGGCACATGGGAGTTGCTTTTCACAGGACATCAAGTCAGAGGGTCTTGCATGATTATATATGGTAGTGTCATCTGTGTACTGGTATGATTTCACAGGTCTAAGGCAGTCAGATAAATCATTAATGTACAGATTGAATAGCACCAGCCCCAAAATGGAACCTTGTGGGATGCAGCATGCTACTTCAATGGTTTCAGAGGCTTTCTCATCAATAAAACAAACTGTTTCCTATTGGTCAAGTAGCTGGTTATCCTCTTAAATAGGACTTGGAGAATCCAAGATTATGGTGCTTCATAAGAACTGTCTCATACCAGACTGTGTCAAATGCCTTTGAAAAGTTGGCTAGGATGGCCATAGTAACCTTGCCCCACTTCAAAGCTTTCACAATGTCATCCCTCATAGCCAGAAGCACAGTGGTGGTATTGTGTCCCTTTTTGTACCCACTCAAAGTGTCTTTAAGGACTGCCATGTTGTGACAGAAAATTTGTCATCTGATGTAAGACAAGACATTCGTAGACTTTTGATGACAACAGTAAGATAGGCCTGAGGTAGTTGTTTGATTTCCACTCCTTTGTCTTTGGAATGGCACTGAACTTCTATTGCAATAGCTTATTGTATGGTACTTCAGAATATCAAATTAACAAATTGCAACGTGTTCAACACATGTGTGCTAGATTAATATGCAATGAAATTAAATATTGTCACATTATTCCTTTGTTGATGGGGTTGCACTGGTTACCTATTAAGTTAAGAATTGAATTTAAGATCATATTAATTGTTTTTAAGATTTTTAAGGGTTTAGCACAGTCTTATCTAAGTTATTTAATTACACGCAAGCCCAAGTCAAGATATAATTTAAGGAATTCCAGTGATAAGACCGTAGTCAGTTATCCTAGTTTTAAGTCTAAGGCAACACTTGGTGACCGGGCATTTATGTTTGCAGCACCTAAGCTATGGAATAATTTACCAAGGGATATAAGAGAATCTAGTTCTATTAATAGTTTTAAATCGAAGCTAAAGACATTTCTTTTCAAGAAAGCATTTTATAATTGATAAAGTTTTTATAGTTATTTATTCATTGATAAAGTTTTTATAGTTATTTATTCATTGATAAAGTTTTAAATAGAACATTTTAAGTAATAATTAGTTATATGTTATATATCTTATTATGAATCGCATTTAATTGTTATTTTGTACTCCAATTATCATCATCATTATTTTTATTTCATCATTAGTTTATTGTAATTATTATGTTACGGTGCATTTGAATATATATACATAGAATTTGCACCTTAGAAGTCAATAAATTATCATTACTATTATTATTATTAGTTCAAATCTGTCGTTGTACGGCAATATGAGGTCAGAACAATAAATGGCTCCAAGCAAAACTCTGCTGTGTCTGTTGCTCCCCAGGATCTCCATCCACAGGTATTCCAGATTAGGGTATCACTTTTCCAGATCAGTATGTCTGTTGAACTTGTTGATTCCTTGATATATATGCCGATGCCCCCTCTCCTGGTGTTGTCCCTGCTCTTAAAGGCATGAATGAAGCTGAGGATGGTAACGTGTTGGAACAACAACTTGCTGTTTTTAAGCCAAGTCTCACTCATTGTGATAACATTAAGGGGGTAATGGTTGACAGTTAACAGCAGGTTGTTGAATATAGTCCCTTCACTGAGTACTGATGTGCATGACTCGCGAATTCTTACTGTTGTTCTTTAAAGTGTTGAGGTGCAGGTTTTCTATAGCCTCAGTGTCATCACTAAATGTCTCTGATATGTCTAATATATTTTGGCTGTAGTAGGGTGATACTGAAATAAGGTACTTGGAACATATCCATTCATTTGGCAGAGATGAAATGAGGTGTTTAGTGTTACCCACTCCAGCACAGTGGGTGTGAGTGAGATCCATCCATTTGATGCAAAATAAATGTTTTTGATTTCTTTGAACGCACTTATTACACTGTAGACAGACAAGTGCTTTAGTACAAGGATGTGTCCATTCACTCTTGACTGTTGGCCCAGGATTCTCAGATATATCTCCAGCTCTCAATCAAAGTTGAAAAGTGGCAATGCTGTTTGAATAATATGGGATTTGTGACTTGGTTCTGTGGTGTTTACATGTATTTTTCAGACACTTCAACTTCAGTTTGGTTATGCAGATGATAGTAATAAAGTCACTCAATTGTCAGTCGTGACATCAACTGCTGTGATTTCGAAGTTCAGTTCTTCTGAGGGGCGGCCTTCCATTAGAGCAGATAACATGTATATGCAAAAACAATGTGGAATAGTTACTGCTTCTGACAGAAAGGAGCGATTCATTATAAAAAGGTGTAGTACTTGTAGCTTTTGTCAAGACCCTGGGTATGATTAGATTGACCATTATTCCAAAGCAGCATCCAACACATTCTTACAAGGTGTTAAGGTTGAAAAGATACTTGTTAACTCTCCAGGGATGTGTTGATCAAGCAGCATTCCTATGCAATTGCCCAAATGAACTTGATATTCAAAAGCAAATCCAAACCTATTTTCAGCCTGATAAATTCCAGCATTGTCAAAATCCAGAGATTGCTTCTTGTGTTAGTCTGACCTCTTATGCATGTGTGTTTGCTGTTCTTCATGGTTAAGTGACAGTCAAAGCAGACAAAAATGACCAAGAACAAAGAACAGAGAGTCCCCCTGCCTCATGTCATGACTCACATCAGCAATTCCTGGATACACCATATTTCAGCAAACTGATTATTGCACAAACTATTTTCATTTCAAACAATATGTTATCAATGAAAAAAATTTTGACAGCCAACTCAATTTGCAGCCTATCAGAGTCTGCCAGGGAAGTGGTATCAGAGTCTGCCAGGAAGTGATCAACAAGCAGTCACATTAGTATGAGAACAGTGGCCACTGTAATGTTGTCTCACTTTTGCAGCCTGCTTCTGATTGGCAAAAAATTAGGAACTGACATTGTGCAGGTGGCATGGGTTTGATCAGTAGGCTTCAAAATACTCCAGCATTCCTGCAAATTCACTTTATTGAAGTAAACCCATGGAGTCAGGTTTGGTGCTTCCACCACCAAGATTAAGAACAGTTTGAAGCCTATTTGTGATTACATTCTATTACCTATGTTGCACTCTGATTGGCTGCCCTACTGGCTATCTTTTCAGTAATAGATAGTGAGTGGCTAAGTATCGTATGGTTGTGAACAAAATAAAATGAAAACATGAGCCTGACTTGTTGTTAAGTTTTGCTTATCTAATAGACATTTTTTCTCAGACAATTAAATAAATCACCTGAATTGAATTATGTGTGATAGGTGATTTGGACTTTTCCCTTGTCAACCAATAGGCAATCGAAAACTCAACTTCAGAATTTATTTGTGAAATATCAGACAGTAGAAAATTGGAGAAAAGCTCTTCAATACAATCACAGTGCTGTGTTGGTATCTGAAAATCACAATTAGTTTGTAGTATATGGGTGAAGACCATACAGTCATGAAAACTTCCAGATGATAAAATTGGACTTCAAGGGCACTTTTTCCCTATCTAATGTACCATTGTAAATGCACAACTGTGGGTGTAGTATGGAATACTTACCAGTGCAAGAGTTCCAACAACACTGTATCTTGCTTCCAAGTCCTTCAAACCTTCAATAACAAAGTATGGAGTTCCAAGTGTAATTAAAAGATTAAAATTAGAGCCAATTTATTGTCCAATCAATAAAGAAAGACACTTCTTTTCACTAGTGGTTCCTGAACTCCTCTATCAAACAACTTCCACTTCACCACTCAGAAAGGAATCTACAGTATGCTGTCACTTGGCAACATGTTCTTATAGAAGTTAAGAATCCTTACCCTGATAGGTAGTTGGAGCTGACTTGGTTATCAGAGCCTGGAATACAGTTGTTAAATGGGCCAGCTGTACCTTCTGATTGTCTAACATTAAAAGCATCTGCTCATCAGGTGTGCCACCTCCTCCATCAAACAGTGGAACACCTTCAACAAAGTAACTTCACTGTTAGTTATTACATTAACTAACTTGGTGTTATTAGTTGATCAGTTGTCAAGGGCTATTGCCAGTAGGAGTATTTGACCGTTCAGCTTCCATTTGCTTGCACCCTTTTACACACTTTAGTAATCCACTCAAAATTTTCATTAAGCAGATTCCTTTAGTTAGCAAAAGATCAAGCCTGACTTCTGACCACTAATTAAAAATTACCTACATGTATTACTTGGTTCAAACAAGACAAGATGAATTTTTTTTTCAAACATATAGCATAAGGGTAAACTACAAAAAATCTGGACAACCTTCCCAATTTTTCCTAATAAAAGGGAAATTCACTATTCTTACAAAGCTGATCTAACTGGTCCTTTATGTCCACAACACGGTCCCATGCCCAATCCAGTATCAACTTCAAACTGCAGCCTGCATGAGTCACATCTGAAATCAATTCAAATAAGGCACCTAGTTTTTTTAAGAAAAAAATTTTTTTAATACAAACAAAGTGTGTCAGGCTTTAAACTGAATAAAATGGCTACTTGGTGAGTGAAATATCATGTTGGCTACTGAACGAAATGGCACAGCATTGAGTGTAATAATGGCAAGCAAGTGTCTCAAATTTTGGTTATTCATAAGTGGAATAAAGAGCTACAAAGTAAATAAATGAAGAGATCAATGCAATGAAGTTCATGGCTATGAAGTTGCAGGATAAGCAAGCAGAATGGTTAGCTGAGAGAGGAACGAATTGACATGTGAGTGCAATGTTGTAAGATGGGAGGAAAGCTTAGAAGTATCCAACTACATTCACCATCTTAACAGAAGTAAAAAAAACTTGTTAAAAAAGACTGGTTCTTAGTGCTGCATTCCTTGAAAATCTTTCTGTTGCCATAAAGTTGAAAAATTTGGGGATAAAAAAGGCCTTTCTAAGATCAGATAAAGCAGCTTGCCACCACAATAGTAAGATAGTGCCCACCCTGCAAGGGCTCAGACATTGAAAGGGAACTGAACTCATGAGGTATGATTACTCTGAGTCCCAGGCTGGAGAAGATATGCATGAGAGATTTCTGTGTTGTTTAAAAACATCAAACAGAAGATACTGCACTGAAGGTCATGTTGTTGTTTGGTTCTGAAATGTGCATACAGGTTTGGATAACTTAGGCTCTTTAAACTCAGGATATAAGATAACCTAAACCATTTTTTTAAAAGAGTTTCTCAATAAAACATCAACAGAATGCTAATCAATATGATATTCAATACATTGTAGTTCACCTCTTTCATCGCAGGACAATAATTTGCCAAATTTAAACTGTTTAAAATGTTTAGAGTGTCAATTGGTGTGTTCTAGAAGTTCTGTCCCATTACATTTTCATTTCAAAGTGGTCAAAATCTAAGACTTATTAAGCTACTAGCAGATACTGTAAGTTTGATGCACAAACTCTGATCATTTTATATCATAACATAAATGGAGCTTGCTCAACATACTAATTTGAATAATTTGGCTGTCATGCTAGCAAAATAAGCAGCAGTTTGAATTCACTACAGCAAAGGAAATTAATAAGTGCCTGATACATATATCTGCTAATTTCATCCTTCTGTGGGTTGGATGGACACTCACTTTTGACTTTTCTTCAATCTAAGTTTACAATTTAGATGCACGTCAGAGGACAGAAAGTACACATTTTCATGAGCACTATACTTTGGATTTGGTTACCAATTAAAAACAGCTCTGTTCAAGTGTACACTTGATCAAGTTATGGAAGGGAAAAACCTTTTGACTTAGGCTAAGGGAGTCAATTCAGCTCCAAATCAAGATAAAACAACTGAGAACTTTAGGAGGAAAATTGATGTCACTGGTGAAAATTCTCAACTACTCAATCTTGCTATTTCAGATTTCATTTATCTCCCTCATGTTTGCCTCCTGATGACTTAAATTTACCATAAAAGTAGTAACATAAACATGGAAAAAGAAAAATTGGAAAAAAAAGAGGAAATAAAAAGTAAAAAAATGGAGTACACAGAATTGTCTCAATTTCTCACTCTAATTGGATCTCTAGTCCAGACAAACTACATTGGCAGTTTTACCACTGAATTCCCAATTTATGTGCAAAGAAAAATTAATAAGAGAGGGAGTTTTTCTTCTGTTGCTGTTTTTGGCTGAAAATTTTTAGACATTACCACTCAATATCAGTTTGCCAAGTACATTGACACATGCCCTGCACTCTAAAATGGCAATCTCTGAACTTTGTGCATTAAATTATCTTTGGTAGTCAGTAAATAAAACCACAGTGGTTTCTGAAAATACGTTAAAATAAAACTATTAGTCGAGCTCTCAATAATCAAAGCTGAAAAAAGCCCTTTTTGACCTCTTGCAACAACAAAAATTTGACTAAAAGTTGACAAGCCTGCCCCTTGTAATGTACTATATGCTACAAAAACTTTTGTACTCCAAAACTGAGATATTTAAGGGGTTTGAAAAGCATTTTAAATTTGATATGTGTTCATTCAGAGGTTCGCCATTGGTCAAAGTACTCTTTCTTTCTTTGGTGATGTTTCTCAAGTTCAGACCAAATAATAAAAACTCTGATTGACATCTTCTACTATCTAAAGATGTTTAAAAGCATTAAAAAAAAAAAATATATATATATATATATATATATTATGTGGATTCCTGATGACTATGAACTCTACAAATCCTGCTAGAAAACAAGAAAGAATACTGAAAAGTGTGGAGCTCTCTTCTGAACATTTCCCTGGTCACTTTTGAAATCCTAAACACCATTAGAAGGCAAAATGTGAATAAATGTGAATGAATGTGAATGAATGTGAATGAGATGACCAATATTTATATGTACCGTAATTTCCGATCGTTTACCTGCATGGCCAATTATTGCATACGGTGAAAAAAAAGAGATAACAGATTACCCGCACTGATGGATAACCCGCACATTGTTATTCAACTTTTTTGGTAGCGAAAACGTGACATTAAGGCGATACATTTCAGTCTTTCAATTCAGACACGCGCACAATTCTTTGTCAATATTAGCTTATACTTTATTGATAAAATTATACAGTAAAAACACTAGCGGCCCATACCCAAATCTTAATATTTCATACTTGACAGAATGTGAATTCATGGCCACATTTTGTGCAAGCGATTGTTCAGCACCATGTTGATTTGTCGAAAGAAAGCTGGGGCAAGTGTTAAAACTTGAATGATAAGTAAGTTCTGTTCAAAATCCATTAAAATCTTCATCCTCTGTGTCACTATTAAATAAGTCCATTAACTGCGCATCGAGTACAGGATCCAGAATTGGAGTAGATGTTATTTGTTTGTCGTCACTGATGTTGGATGTCTGAGATGCATCATCGTCAGTGCCACTTGTTATTCCTGCTTTTCTAAAACCATTCTTGATGGACAAAAATTTTACTGCTTCCCAAGCTTGCACAACCCAGTCGCAGACTTTGGCATGGGTGGCCCTCCTCATTTTTCTTGTTTCAGTAAAGGTATGGATTCCCTCTGACATCCACTTGCCACGTGCCAATAAAAATTTGTTTGTCATGCAACTAATTATGTGTGAAATAAACTCAAGTTGGCATCAGGTTTTCGTGCCGCTTTGTGGCACTTTTATTACAATAAAATTCATTTGAGAGGTGGAAACACAGGTAGGGGAGAAATTTTTTCAATTCAACTTCCAGAAGAATTTAAAATTGTCATGTAACCCGCACCTCCCTATTACCCACAGTGGTGCACGTTTAATGCAAAATCAACAGATTACCTGCGGGTTAATGACTGGAAATTATGGTAGTAAGGGATACATTGAGAATCCAATATTATGCAATATTATTGAAGTAAATGACTGATTACAGCTTGATGTCACCCAAGAGGATGATAGTGACAGTGTTAGATTTTCATGACTAGGAATCACTGAAACTGCGAGACAAATTATTATAATAACCACAGGTTTGGAGTATTTCATAGCCCTAATTTCTTCATGCCAAGAAATGAACTTAAATCAGTTATTCAACTTACTTCCTGTCCCCAGTTTCTGAATGCATAATGTGATGAAAGTCACCAAGCCATGCTCTAAGGCAACTGAAAGAAGAGCCTCGTAGTGAAACTGAAAAAAATCAACCAACATATGTAAATGTGCCAGGCTCTACACACCCTTGAGCTTCTCTACCAAACCTTCAAATATGACTCCACAGAACCTTTGGGAAAGAAACCCATCATGCCAAAAAATTAGTCCATAGGCTTATTTGATTGTTTTAATGCTATGCCACTCTTAACCTTGGAAAATGGCTTCTTTTAATTTCAGGCTCAAATTGATACCCCCTACCCCCTGAAACTTAGGAACTGAATTACAGGAAATATAGTTAGAGTATGTTGAGAAGTACAATGACTGAGATCAACAGTCACCATCATCAGAGTCAAGTAACTGATGATGACCTAACTAATGTTTGCACATCAAGTGATCTGGTTTTATGTGGGATGCCTGTGGCAGACCATGTTAAAACTTTTGCTTGAAATCATGGAAATTAGCCACATACTTGTGCTGCCCAATAAATTTGAGCCCTGTTTACTGGTGTTAGAACTTGGATAGGTAATCACAAATAATATTTCATATTGTTGACTTTTTTTTTGCATTGTCTTCATTTTATGATTTCAGTGGAAACCCCACAAACTTGAACTCCCAAAGGGAAACAAAAAA